AACAAAATACTAAAAACATTATTTTTATTTATTTTACTTTGAATTGTTTTAATTTAATTAAATGTTCATTTACAATTCAATTTGGTTGTATTGATTGCTATTTGGACCTTTTAATCGCATTTGACTCATCCCCATTTGTAAAAATTGTACCCCCATTCCCGAACACTTTGTAATAGCGTAGAATTTCAATTCCCGCAATTTATTGTTTTCCTTATACAGTATAGTAATTAGGAATGCATGGCAAGATATAAAATCAGTCGCTAGATAACCTAATTTCAACGAAATAACTTAAAACGAACACACTTTATCACACGTGCACCTCTAGGGTAACCTCGCTTATTGCTTCAAAAACACAGTCATGTCCCTCGAATATGGGATGCCTTAGCAATGACCCTTCGATAAAAAAGATCGTAGTCCCTTGATGACCCTCGACGTTGCCTTCGATAAAACGATCTTGTCCCTTACGAAAATTGCTAAAGCGTCTCATAAGTTGCCTTCGATGACTGTAAAATTGACCCGCGCTTGTCCCTTCACATCCAACGATGGGGCTTCTTACCAAATTAATGGTAAGATAGCATCATTAAAAGGAGGAAGAAAAGAACAATTGAAAACCTTTCGAGTAGATAGATTCGTTCCTAGTTACTCGCTTGCTCACGATAAAAACATTTTTACACCTACACTTTCATTTCAAAACATTTTCAAAAGACAAAAAAAAATTATACGTTCTTATAGAGACGAGAACCATTGCAAAACATCTTTTCAAAACACTTTCCGAAACACAATCCACAAACACATCTTTGAACCACTTTTCGAAACAAAACTTTGTACGTGTTCTTATAGAAACGAGAACCATTACAAAGAGATTTTTCAAAACACTTTCAAAGCCCACACCGCAAGCACACTGTCAAATAAAAGCAAGTGATCTAAACGAGTAACTAAGAGCCCATGGAAAACCATGGATGAAAAGGGTGATAATACCTTCCCTTTTCATAATCTACCCCCCGAACCCGAGAAATAATCTCCAAAGGTATTTCCTGTGCTTTTTTACCTTTCCTTTTAGATAAAAGAAAAGTCGGTGGCGACTCTTGCTATCCGCACAAATGCGATCGAAACGCAAAACACCAAGTCAGTTCTCCTACCGTATCACACACGGGATCAAGACCCCGATCACGGTGTTATTCCCTTCATGAAACAGAACAACCTATGTTTCCCTCGACATGTTCCCCAAATTGTCGAGCACTAAATCCATCAAGCAAGAACCCCACACTTCAATAAATTACACGTATCAAACATATATAGCGATGAGTGAAACCAACATTCGAAAATCAAGTATTCAAGCATATAAAATAAACGGGCAAGTAAAAGCGTCGATTGTGAAGGCTGACATTTTCAAAATATTACAAAATAACCAAGAAAATCCCTTGTCCAAATGTTGAAAAAATCACGGGCACGCAGGCCCCAAAACCCAAGCAAGAAAAAAAGAACGTAAGCCACTCTTTGTGGCCGCCATCATCTTTGACATGGCCGGGGGATTCAAAGGGAGGAACTAGCTTACCATCGACCACTTGGGACAGAAGCCCGATCCCTCCAGAGTTAAGCCCAGGGTTCAGCAACTCGAGATGGGTCACTGTCGTGTCAAAGCCAATCATCGTTGCTTTCACACAAAAATACTTGAGTTGCTGAATCTGAGCAATAAATTCGGCGTGGGCCTTCAAGACTTTCGTCTCTTCGGGCTCGTCCTCGGTAGGAGCCACAACAGCCTTTAAATCAGCAATAGAATCCACGAGACTTTTCTTCTTGAGCAACCAGGCACCCTTTTCCACAGACAAGTTGGTTGCCTTCTCCTTCTTCTTCAAATCGACACCCTAAGCCCTAAACTTCTCCTCATAACTGACGAGGGCAGTTTGCAGCTTTTTCATTTTTTCCTCAAGGGCCTGTTTCTCCGTCTACAGTTTATCCAACACCGCAATAGAGCCAATTTCCTCGCTAGAGAGGACCACCGCCATCTCTAAAACCTTTATCAAACCAATGAAACTATCTGCCAGTTGTTTCCTCCTGCCTACCGGATCGATAACCCTGATGATTGCGAACTCTCCAACAGGCACGACCAAGGGATATATGTTGAAGAAACCCTTATGGACAAAGTAAAGGGTCAGTGTGAAAGCCCAAGTATCAACTTTGTTCTCTGTCAAATCCAAAATATCATCATCAGGTTGACTCCTTTTTCTACCCAACATCGACTTCCTAGAAAGAGATTGTTCAACGTGCAGCGACATGGATGAGGTGTTGGAGTCGCCCTTGGCCTGACTGGGGGCACAACAAGTGCTCTTGAAGACTATTTTCTTGCTTTTCTTTGTCGCGTCCTGCGTCAACTTCGGGATGCGCTCGCGGGAATCCGCCATCTTGCCAGTAGAAAATAACAAACCAAGGTTAGTACGCCAACAAAATCCGTGCGACCACACTAAAAGGGGATAAACATGAGTAGATACCTAAGAGCATTACACAATCCGTGTAAGAGTGGCACTCTAGGAACGCCTTAGTGTTAATCGCTCGAGCCTCATATACAGGCTCACCATCATCACCAAGAAAGTCTTTTCCCTCTCTCGTGACCCACAGGGTAGGGTAAAAGTCGTTGACAAACTTACAAAGTTTGGCATAAGACTCCTCATCTACCTGCTTGACATATGTGCTAACCTAAAAGTCATAACTCCTCTACTTAGGAGCCACGGCTTGGGGGGCTCCTGTTTTAAACCAGGCTTGCGCTTGGTCTTCCGGCGGGCAAGGCCCAACCCAACTCTGCTATGAAGAAGGCCCACTTTCGTGGCCCATATTACTATGATTGTTGGGGAATGTCTCTCACATGTTCCCTTTGAGGACCTCCTCCTTAACATGTACACATCGTGAACATATGCTACGCGCCGAGGAACCTCCTCTACATGCCTGTCAGGGATATGTCCTCCACATGCCCGACAAATAAGTCCCCTCCATGTGCCCGCTAAGGGTACGTTGAACCAGGATAGTTGAACCAGGATAGAAACCATGAACCAGTCTCCTCTTCCCATGTAGGATCCTGGCAGTCTCCATTTTGGGCATGGGCATCTGGCCCGAAATGGGGACCTTGGCCCAGTGATGGGGGCTATAAATACCCTCTTTCACTAGAGAATATGATACACTATTCTCTACACTCTTTCATACTTGCACTTTACTTTGAACCTGACTTTGGCATCAGAGTGTCTTGCTGGTACCCCCCATTCACTTCAACAATCATAGAAATCTAAGGGTTACAGGCCACTGAAAATCTTTTCTGATCCCGATAAAATCAACAATTAAAAGAGAGATTTGGAAAAATTTTAAGATAATACATCATTATTACGAACATTATATTTTCAATCTAAAAACTACTTATATCTATTGTTTTTGTTCTTTTTATAGATGACATGTGTTTTTTCTTACATTTTTGTACAATTTGATTTAAAATATTTAGAATATAAAATTCATGAGCACTAACAAAATATATATATATATATATATATATATATATATATATATATATATATATATATATATATATATATATATATATATATATATATATATATATATATATATATATATATAATCTACACAACAAGATGTGAGATCATAGGAAAATCACTTCTAACCTTTGCTTTTCCACCTAAAGAAAGAGAAAATTAAAAAAATAAATCTTACACTTTCTAGGAAGAACCACACACCACCTCAATGATTTGAAAATTTTACACCACACATTTGAGACGATCTCACCAGTAACAAACAAATAGGAAGTTGACTCAACCAAAGGACAATCCATTAGAATCAACAATCATGTTATACTTTAAGAAATTATCTTTAAGATGATTGTTTTTCTCACCCTAAGTGGTGGAGAAGCACTCGAAAATGCCCTTAAGATTCTGGAAGTGTACTTTCAGACGTATTTTTTCACACCAAATACATGCGTAAGTGAATCCAACCTCTCTTTTTTTCTTGAATCTAGTCCGGATATACACTTTTGTATTCATCATATTCGCACTCATGCATTCATATCTCAAACACCCTCATTTTGACATAAATTAATCTGGAGATGCATCTCTGTATTCACCATAGACAGAATACAGTTATGCATTTCCGTATGTGTTATAACTATATTATCATAATAAATTTTATATAAATAAAATCATACACTTAACAACAAATAAGATGAAAATACCATGTAAAAATGAATAAATCACATCAGAATGTTCGAATATCATAGTACATTTGTTTCAAAGAATAAATACATATAAGCTTTACCCCTTTGTCCCATACATGCCTGGCAGCATGGTCTGTATATAGAGGCAATAATGATAAGTCAAACAAGCCTCCCACAAATCCCTTGAGAACGACTGCATCATTAGGGGAGACATGCCTATTCCAGGAAGACGAAACTGTAGACACCTGAAGCCTAGAAGTTGATGCGTATGCATCAATCGAACTAGAACCTACCGAAGAGAGTTTGAGAGGATTTGGGAGTTTGAGAGAGTAAAAGAGAAATGAAGAAGAAGAAGAGTCTAGCGTATTTTTATTAGAAATTCATCCGAAAAAGCATTTCCGCAAATTATACAAACATGCATTTTCGTATTAATTTTTGACATAAAATTAAGATATGACTTACTTAAGAACGAATTGTGTGTGAATAAAATACGTCCAGAAATATATTTTCGGATTTTAAAGGTAATTGTGGTTTTTCATTAAGATGAAAAAGAACAATTACCATCTTTAAAAGAGAACTTATCTAGCAAGAGTTTACAAGAATTCGAATAAAAAGAAACACATTCAAAACATTTTATTTGCGTTTAAAAAAAATAACATTAAAAACATCTTAGCAACACCAATGTAAATTTATAATACGAAATCAAACTAGTTGATCGAACAAGAATGATCAAGCTTATTTTAAATAGAACATAAAAACTAGCACTATAGAAAACTTAACCATATCAATAAAACTATGACATTTGTATCACCTCATTCATGTTTGAATGATTAGTTCTCCTCACTCTAGTTTTTCTTTTCACTCTTCTCTTAGGCTTTCCACCAAATATCATCACAAGCCATCTTGGTTTTCCAAATAAAAACATGCAATATCCAAGACCTATTCCAAACAAAAATCCACATCCATATCCCATTGTTACTGGTTTCCATCCAAGTTCAAATTTCTCTTCACTCAAATACTTGTTGGCTGAAGGTAGAGAATGTTGTTCAGGTCCACATTTCTTTAACAACGGAAATCCACATAATTCCGAGTTTCCATCATATGATTCATTTGAAAATGTATTGAGTTGTTTTCCTTGAGGTATCTCTCCCACAAGATGATTATTAGAAAGATCCAAGAATTCAAGAAAATTCAAATTGGATAATTCTCGAGGAATAACACCGGTGAGTATATTTGATGAGAGATCCAAAGATTCTAAATTTGTCAAGTTTCCCATGGATCGAGAAATAATACCAGTGAGTCTGTTATGAGAAAGGTTAAGTCCTATAAGTGCATGAAGTTCTCCAACAACATTTGGAATATCTCCTTCAAATTGATTTCTTGACATATCAATAGTTGCAAAATTCGTTGAGATTTTCACCAACTTTGAATTGATCCCCTTTATTCTCACGGTGACAGAATAGTAGTACCATATACTACTAAGTTGACTATAAAAATTCAATGCCTCTACCATATATGAAAAACTTGCATTCTCATCTTTCATCGCTTCAAACTTTTTAAATAATTCTTTTGGAAGTGAGCCACTAAAGTTATTGCCTGAGATATCAAAAATCATTAAATTGGGAAACGAATGGTTGGTGCTTAGATTAGAAATGGGACCATGGAACTTATTGTCTCGCAAAACCAACACTTTTAAATTTTCCAGAGTTTCAAGCCAATTAGGAAATTTGTCTTCTATTCTATTGCTACCAAGATTTACAACTTCCAGATTTTTGCAATGGGACAAAGTTTTAGGCAAGCGGTATTCTAATTGGTTGCCATAAAGATTCAAATTAAGAAGTTGACTGTCGTTGGAAAATTTATTTGGCAAAATTCCATAAAGTTTGTTCATTTGTAGATCCAAAACTTGAAGAGACGATAAACTAACAAGACATTGTGGAATCAAACCTGTCAATTTATTGTGTGCAAGATTGAGAAATTTTAGTGAACTCATGTTGCAAATTGAAGAAGAAAGTTCACCGTGTAGTAAGTTTAAACTAAGATCAAGGGAACCAAGCCGGTAGCTACTTGTTGATATTTGATCTATTGATGTGAACATGTTTTGAGAGAGATTCAAAAATCCTTGATCATTCATTGTTTCAAGTAACCAATCAGGCACTCTTCCATACAATTTGTTATTGGACATATCAAGAGAATACAAACTTGGACACTTTTGTAGAAATCTGGGAATTTCATTCAAACTCAAAGAAGACAATTCCAATGAAATTAGTTCAGAAAAACTGTAATTGACATTGGATTCAATTTTTAGTGATAATTGGCTATTTTGTGAAAGGGACAAAGAATGCAAATTTTGAAGTTTGGAAAAGTGGTGAAAATCAACAACACCACTTAAGTTGTTTGATGATAGACATAGTATAGTTAAGTTTGAAAGGTTGAAAATTGATTTTGGAATATTGCCTTGTAGCTTATTTTCGCATAGATACAACTCTTCTAAGGAATACAATGAGATTTCCCTGATATGTCCCGTAAGTCGATTGTTCGCTAGATGTAATACTTTTAATTTAGGCAAAGATAACACGGAGGATGGAATTGTTCCGTTTAACAAGTTGTTATGTAAAATCAAATAAGTTAGTTTCTGAAAACCTGAAATTTTGTTGGTTAGGGGTCCTACTAATTTATTATCAGAAGAATCTAAAGTTACAAGTTGATTCAAGGTAAATAATGAAGAAGGAAGTTGTCCTTCAAAATTGTTTGAATATAGAAAGAGTTGTTGCAGTTTGGTCATCCCACCAAACACATCTGGAATCTGACCATTAAAAGAATTGGATGAAAGGTATAAGCTAATGAGATGTTGAAGGTTTGAAATTGATATTGGAAGTTCACCTATAAATTTGTTAGAACTCAAATCTAATTTGATAAATCTATTTGGTTGTTGAAAAACATTTGGGATTTGACCACTAAGATCATTTAGAGAGAGACGCAGATAAGATAGATATGAAAAAGTTAAAATTGAAGATGGAATTGAACCGTTAAGAGAGTTTCCCATTAAACTTAGAAAAGTAAGATATGTGAGGTTAGAAAATGATGGAGGAATGGGTCCTTGAAAACCATTAAATGAAAAATCCAAAATTCTAAGAAAGTTACTGCAACTCAATTCTGGAAGTTGGCCGGTAAGGTTATTACTTGACATATATAACTCATGAATAGCTGGTAAGCAGAGAATGCTTTGTTTGAAGTTACCCCGCAATCCCGTATTTTCGAGATTAAGAGTAACCAAAAAGGAAGAATGATTGAAGAGAAAACTAAGGAAGTTTGGTCTTATTGAAGACATATTTGTGTCATCCAAAAACATCTCCCTTAAATTTGTTGCATTTTGCACGAGTCTCTTCAAAGTGCTCTCTTTCCAAATTAACTCACTATTGTGAGAGAGATGAAGTGATGTTAATTTAGAAAGATGTGATATTTGAGGAGGAACTTCACCTTGAAAATCACAGTTAGACAGGTCAAGATGTGTGAGACTCTGAAATCCACCAAAGTTAGAATGAAATTGAGAGCCAAGATAAACATTGAAGAAATAATTGGAAGAAAGATTAAGTGTTTGAAGATGAGAAAGATGGAAAATGGTGCTGTTAGAATGTAATATACCCGTAAGGCCTTCACAACCAAGGTTGAGGCCAATCACATGACTAGAGATGGTGTCACATGTGACACCATGCCATGAGCAACAATCAGTCTCAATTTTCCATGTTCTTGTTTTCATAGGAGATTCATTACAAGGGTAATAAGCAGTACTTATAGTGAATGAGGACTTGAAATGAAGCAAAACATAATTCTCATAAGTATGGCATGAGAAGTTGAAAGAAGAGAAAGATGGAAAATGAAAGAAAAAAAGATGTAAACACAGAAGCAACCACTTCATGGATGACATGTATGAAGGAGTTTGTGGAAACTTAATAGTTTGTCAGAAAGAAAGAAAACCGAAAGAAAATAAAGTGTGCATGGAAATAGTAAGAAAGCTAACAAATATTTATAGTCAAAATTCAAATAGAAAGTAGCTCAAACTTAATTTTCAAATCAAAATTTAGTTCAATAAAAGTAACTAATGATAAAGTCGTTATTTTCACTCGGTTATCATTATTTTATGCATTTTTTTATTGACTCCTTGATGATCAACATGGTAAAGGACGTATATGATATAATTACTATTCCACGTGGTGACATTAAGATATAATTGGTTGATATTTTAGTTGTATGTTTAAAATGAACTCGGAAGTCTTTTCCAAAATGATTTGACCTAATTTGTTGATCTTTCCGTAGGCCAATTTTATTAATAATTAATTATTTATTAAAGTAATTAATATTAGATTGTTTAAATAAAATTATATTTTAAAACTAATGAAAATATTATTTTGAAAAACTATTCTAGTAAAAGTGATTTGAAATTAGCTAAGAATTATTGTTAGAGTTAATTGTGTTAACTTGTTTCTTCAGTATCAGAGTTTCCAGATGCAATGCCAACAATTCAGTTCACACCAATTTGCATCGCTACCACTTCGGATCAAGCGTTAGTTCGAAATCAAGCGTCAGAATTAGCTTTGGAGTCTAATCTGGATCCTATAACATTTCACAATTTGGTATAAAAAGTTGCCAGGTATTTTTTATCTATCAAAAAATTACAACAATCGTTTCTATAGGTTGTTTTAAATTGTAGGGTGTTTTTAAGAGTTATAGAGTGATTTTCATCTAATAGTTTAAAATTTCTTTTTTGTAATAATATTATCAATAGAATACGAGATTTAACAATATCTGATTCAGTGAGTGGCGTGGAGAGAATAGTAACATTTTTTTTAAGGTGAGAATCACCTCACAACTCCAAAAAAAACACACTCTACAATTTAAAACTTATAAAGGGACTGTCTTTTTAATAAGTGAAAAATTCCTCACAAATTTTTATGCCAAGTTGTACGGTGGATATTAGACTTTTTTGCGAGGTGAAAAACATCTTTTAATCTTATTTGATGAAAAACATCTTGCAATTTGTAAAATTTATCATGTTGTAGAATATTCTACCCCTCGCATATTAAAAATTTATTTAATAAAAAGGTATTTTATTATATTTATATTATTACAAATGTTAATTTTAATATTTATAATAATATAAATATAATAAATAATTTGTAGGTATATAATATTTTAAATTCCAAAATTAATTAAAAATATTTAAATATGATATAGGTTAAATTTAAAAATAATTAATAAAACTTAAAAATTAATATTTGAAAGTTAGAAATTCAAATAACAATATAAATATCAATCATCCATAGTGTCTTCATCACTCTCATTTTCTTCTTTCTCGCTTATCGCTCTTTGGCCACCAACTGCTCCAAATCTGTCAACTCCACCATATCCACCAAAATCTTGATTTTCATCCATAAAACCTTAAGTTGGATTGCTTTGTGAAAGCATACATTTTTTCATTTGTTGTTTGGTAGCTCTCATTTGCTCTTGGGAAACTCTCGAGACCTCCTCCAACTTAAATAATCTTCTTCTCATTTCCTGCATTTCAACCTTTTGGTTAGCTTCACATGCCGCTGCTTCATGTGCTTCCTCACTTAAATCAAATTGTCTCACTCTTTCCGCCATTTTAAGAATTAATACCAGGAAAAATTGACGACCTTTCTCCATATACAATTCTCTTAAATAAAGTTATATCCCTTTTTATAGTTGGAGGCAAAAGGTCTAGAATCATAAATTTTCTTATTTTTATTATTCCTATTAATTGAATCAATCCAAGTATGAAGTGACACAGTTGGATCAATAGGATTTGGGTCCCTCGAAACAACTAATTTAGGATGTTGCGATAAAATTTTTGCATGTCGTCTATGATACTCCTCCTACGCATACATAAAAAAGTTAAATTAAATAATAGATTTTAAACAAAAAGGAAAGTCAACAACAAAAAGGATAACAATAGCATTGTAAAGGTGGTGGGACCAAGTTATGAATACCGTGGAGTTAATCGGAATATTGTTGAAGTGTGTCAAGAGGCCAAAATTTCAGATCAAATATCATGCAGTCCAAGATTATTAAGGGCGGCAAGGATCTTTTAGTGAAATCCAACATTTGTATTCATCTTGCAGGGAGGTTAGGATCTTCCAATGGAAGTCCAACATTTAGTTCAAGGTTTCATCGGTCCTTTTAAACATGTGACCCTGCAAAATTTGAAATAAGACAAAGAGGGAGCACCTCCATAAAAACCATAACCGCGTATGGGAAAAGAGTGTCCCCCATTATCAAATCATACTTATAAGGCTCTTAAAGAAATTACGAACGAAAAAGATAATAACTCGCTTATCCTACAAAATAATTACTTTAAACATTGTTGATAAGTTGTGTTGTACCCCAAAATTTTCTCTCTCATTTCTCAAGATTTTTCTCACAAAATTTCTACTAGGTCAAGACTGCACAAGTTTCCATGGATCATATTGGGCTCTCAAACATCAAATCAAAGAAGAGCAAGTTTGTCTTGATTCATAAGCTTCAAATGGGTATTTGGTCCCCTTCAATCAAGCTTTGGTCCACAAGCTTCGATTGGACATTGGGTCCCCTTCGAGCAAGCTTTGGTCCACAAGCTTCATTTGGGCATATAGCCTCCTGCATACTTGCTTGGATTCACAAAGCAGTGGCCTCCTGCATGCTTTATTTCGATTCATAAAGCAATGGTTATCTTCATACAAGCTTCATTTGGACAATAGCTATCTTCATACAAGCTTCGATGGGGCAATGTTTTCCTTCGAAGCAATATGTTTCAATTCACAAGGCAAGGGCTCCCATCATGCTAGCATGCACAAGGCAAGGGCTCCCATCATACTAGCATGTACAAGGAAATGACTTCTTTCTTGCTAGCACCCACAAGGCGATGACTCCTCTCCTGCTTAGATTCCACCTCTAAACCCTTCAATACACATAGTTTCTACACTATGAATTATAATTGGTGGATTCAAAGAACATACATAAGGCCCATTCGAAGAACATGCATATGGTCCAATCGAAGGACATACATTTGGCCCCTTCGAAGGACACACAATTGGTCAATTCGAAGGACATACAATTGGTGTTTTGTCTTTTGATGAGTCTGGTCAAAAAATGTGATCCAAGACTTGAAACTTGAAATGAGAAATCTTGAGAGTCCAAAATGATCCATGAAAGTAATTTGGGGCATTAAAGGTCCATTTGTGCTTGTGAAAACTCAAACCCTAATTTTCAGTCATCAGTGTTAGAGGAGGTGTCTTGAGTTGATCAACCCTTGTGCAGTCTTGAACCAAAGGACATCTTGTGAGAGATTACTTGAGAAATAAGAGGGAAGATTTTAGGGTAGAACACATCTTATATAGGAAAGAGTTTGAAAACCTGATCGAGTGCCTGGGTGTGGGGTGTCGTGCTATAAACAAAAGGACAATGGTGTTGATAACGACGATAGTGCAACTAGTAAGGTGTTCCTGTCAAGGTGGTGTGGTACCTACCGATAATTCCAAGGTTCAAGAGATTATTTTCTAATGTTAATGACACAAAGAATACTAGATGGAATGCAGATGAAAGAGTGTGTGATGGAAAAAATTTCCATGTAGTTGATTCATTGCAATGGAAGAAAATCGATTCCTTGTTTCAAGATTTTTCCCTTGAACCGAGGAACCTTAGGCTTGGACTAGTCACCGATGGAATGAACCCTTTTTGTAATTTGATTAATAACCATACGTCATGGCTTATTCTTCTCTTAATTTACAACCTATCTCCATGGTTGTGCATGAAGCGCAAGTATATGATACTATCAATGAAGATTTTTGGTCTAAAATAACCAGGGAACGACATAAATGTTTATTTATCGCCATCTATTGAAGATTTAATATTTTTGTAGGAGAAAGGTGTTAATGTTGATGATGAGTATACATGTGATAAATTTAAGTTGCGTGCGATGTTGTTTTGCATAATTAATGACTTTCCTGCATACGGTAATTTGTCTCGGTACAACGTAAAGGGTCATAAAGCGTGTCCTATATGTGAAGTCGATACATGTCATCACTAATTAGAAAAAGGAAAAAAGGCAGTTTATCTTGGGCATTGAACATTTCTAAGACCTAATCATATGTATCGTAGATTGTGCAAGGCTTTTAATGGAGAGCGGATGTTTGGTATCACTCCAAAATCCTTAACCGGGAAGGAAGTTTATAGAAGACAACAACACATTAAAGTTGTCTTTAGAAAGAAACAAAAAAAGCCTGTGGTGAAAAATTCTTGGAAAAAGAGGTCGTGTTCTTTAATCTTCCATACTGGTCCAGTCTTGATGTAAGACATTGTCTTGATGTGATGCACGTGGAGGAAAAGGTATGTGATAGTTTGATTGGAACACTTCTCAACATTAAAGGAAAGACAAAAGATACTAAGAAATCTCACGAAGATATGGTTGTGATGGATATACAGAAAGAATTAGCCCCAAAAGAAGTAGGAAATAGAACCTATTTTCCCCCAGCATGTCACACTCTGTCTAAAAGAGAGAAAAAGTTTTTGCGATTGTTTGCAGGGTATCTGATCAGTAAAATAGCAAGTGTATTATTTTGTCTATGTAGTAATAATGGAGAAATTCCCCGAATGTAGATCTCAAGGACTGCGTATAAATATCGAGTTTAAATTATTTTTCAATTAAACAAAAACTATTGTTTGGTTGGGATTTGCGAATTAATGAAATAATTGTGAATAAAGTAAATAAGTTTGAAAGGTGGTTTTGACAAATATGAGTAACATGCTAGAGAAGGTGTGTGATTTATTCCTGTAACAACTCTGAATTAACATTGCAATAACATATTTTAAACAATCAATTACCGGTTCTTAAGGGTGTTTACTCCTAAGTCCTTAGTGAGAAAACCTTTAATC